ACATGTTCTCCCTAATATGCGGATTATAGACCTAAAACAAATGCAGTAATGTTATTGGACATGGGTCACACACTAAGGGGAGACTGTGCACGTGAGGAATAGGGAAAGGGAAGGAATCATAAAACTTGAATGTGGTTGATGTGCTCACTGTAGAGCAGCAAATATAGTAATCTTATTAAACTGGCAGAGGCTACTATGGGAAGGTGACTGGGAAGTAGTGAAGAAGTCTGGTAGAGATGAACCAATGTGGATTGCAATACATAAGTACGTGGAAGGAATGCTAGGAATCTCTCTGTATAGCTATCTTTATCTCAAACTAGCAAAAACGCTATGTCTTTCTTATTATCTCTTATGGTTTCTCTTCAACAAAGTCAGAGAAGAAGCGGGCAGAATAGGTTCTGCCTGGAAGTATGTGTTGGGGGGTGTTTGGAGGGGGCTTTGGGGAAGGGGTGGCACAAACAATGTAAACACATGTAAGTAAATGTAAAAGCGATAAAATAATAATTAAAAAGTACAATTCATCTTTTTTGTGTCACATCTAAAAAGGCTTTGTGTAAGCCGGGTGTCAGCCAGTAGCGCATGCCTGTAATCCTAGCTACTCAGAAGGCAGTGACAGGAGGATTGCAGTTTGAAGCCAGCTGGGGAAAATAGTTCAAGAGACCCTATCTCAAAAATACCAAACACAAAAAAGGGCTGGTGGGACAGAATAGAGGACCCGCATATAAATCCACACAGCTATGCCCACCTTATTTTTGACAAAGGAGCCAAAAACATAAGATGGAGAAAAGACAGCCTCTTCAACAAATATTACTGGGAAAAGTGGTTATCTGCCTGCAGAAATCTGAAACTAGATCCATGTTTATCACCCTGTACTAGTATCAACTCAAAATGAATCAAGAACCTTACTATCAGACCCGAAACTCTGAAGTTAGTACAGGAAAGAGCAGGGAATACTCTGGAAGCAATAGGTATAGGCAAGGACTTCCTTATAGAACCCCAGCAGCTCAGCAACTAAGGAAATGAGAGCAAAGACTCTTCTCCTTATATCTATTAGTATCTTACTAATTTCTGTTATTATTTACCACTAATGTGAGTTCCTTCTAAATAAGTTTTTTTTTGCAGAATATTTATGTGGGTATGTCCTTGAGGCATCAGGAATGAATTTCAGACTAGTAGGATTTCTCTTTTTGACAGGTGATTATGTATATAAGTTTTCAGGATAATTTCTCTCCAGTCCATCAAAATCAAGGTTACAAGTTGTTTACAATTCCTCCCTCATCCACAAAACAAACTTCACTGTGAAAATGGCTTGTCTATGTAATTATTTGTCTGGATCCCATGTTTCCCACTTCTTGAGGCTTGTATGGAAAGAAGTCTAGCAAAACCACTGCTACTGATAGCCTGTATATCTTGATCTCATTGTTGTAATTTTTTTTACAACAAAGTTTTTTTGTTTGGGGGGATTGTTTGTCTGCTTGTTTGTTTATTTTGCAGTACTGGAATTTGAACTCAGGGCCTTGTGTGTGCTAGGTAAGCACTCTACCACTTGAGCCATGCCTCCAGCTCTACCACAAAGTATGAAAAAGTATGCCATCCTGGACTTTTCTGAAATATTTGGGTCATAGGCAGCTGCTCTTTGTATCTTCTGATACCTGTTTGACATTGACTGCACTTACTCTATTTTGTGTTTCAATGGCTTCATATATCTATTAGTTTAATTGGAGACAGAAACAGAGAGTAAGGCTGAACTTTTATCCACTATGTTAAAACCAGATCATCTTTTGAAGTACCATGAAAGGCACACCAGGTGACCATTAGGAACTAGAAGACAATGGCCCTTTGGTAGTCTGGTTTGCTGCCAGTTTTTGTAAAGAAAGTTTTACTGGAACACATATATAAAAAGTGATCATTTTCTATGATATATTGTTTCCTTATAATTCTTTCTTTCTATTTCATCCAGTTGAATTACTATTTCGCCTTGTGTATACACTCCATGGTCTTAAGTTATGGAAACTGTATCTTGTGTTTATATTAATATGCCAAACTTTCTGATTTCACTTACCTCTAGAATCCACAGATCACTTTCGGAAGTAGGTACCTCCTCTGAGTTTCATGAGTTCTGTTCCTTTCTTGTTCTATACTGTTTTTAATCTTCAAATAAGGTACACATATATCCTGACCAAGGTTTGTTAACAGAGAGGATGAGTGGGCCATGTTGGGTCAGTGCAGACCAGGATTGGAGCTGAAATGAATAATTTAAGGGCTTTTGACTCTTAAAGTTCTGTTGTTATGCCTGAGATCAGACTAATTATTTCCATTTCTCAAGGAAGACAGTAGCTAACTGATAAAAAGGGAAATGGACCTCAATAAGCAGGTATGGAATGACATTGGCCAAACTGATACTAGGGCTTAATTTTGAAAGGGGCTGGGATTTGTAATGGTCATCAAGAGATTTTAGTTATATCCACATTGGCTGAAATTTTGTGATGGAATCAATTTCTTGTATTGCATGTGTGACTAAAAATAAATTTAAAACATTATAATTAATTCATATATCTCAATCTAAGAGCTTAAAGAAGAATAGATAATTTGGTGAAAAGTCAATAAAATAGATAACCAAATAAAATGTACAGGCTAGTCTCCTGCCTCTATGATTTAACATGAATTTGGGGTTAATGTTATAGTCTGAATATGTTCTAGTCTGTGCTGATTCTTTCTAGACCTGAGGCTCAGTTATTAGCATGGGACTTTTGTTTTCATCTCAGGTTAAGGTCCTGGTATCCATGTCTTATCAATACTCTGTAATTGCTTCCTAAGTATACCTGCATTTGAGGTAGATTTTCTGTGTCCTTGAACATTAAAAATGTTTTTATTAATAATTTGACTGTATATATAATGCAATGAGCAGTGATTCCAAAGTATATTTGACCTTAGAAACCCTTTTCATGGACATCCCATTATCTCACATGGCTCTATGGAATATGCTTTCAACAAATCCAGATGGATTTATCGAAAAATCCAGATGGAATTAAGATCTTATCTGCAAACATGGTGAGAGATGACAAGGCCATCATTGAGATATCTTTTAGATTGGTGGATGTGTTTTATCTTTTATGTATCTATGTTACCACCATGGAATTGCATATTATAATTCATTGCACTCCTACACTAAGCTAACTGTCTATGTTAGAAATTAATATTGCTACCATTGTGGCAGGATTTTTATATTAGATAAGCCCTAGTCTCAAGTGCTGCTAACGTGTGCTTGCTTATCCTGCAAATTAGTGTCAATAGATGCTAATATCATGTATCAGTCAGTTTTTCATCACCCTAATGAAATGCCTGAGGCAAGCTATTCATGAAGAAAAGAAGTTTATTTGGCCCACAATTTTGGAGGTTAAAAAACAAATGGCATAGCACAAGCTTTTGCTGGGACCTCATGACAAATGGCAAATGGTGTAATACATGTAGAAAAAGGACCAAATCTCAAGTTAGAAAGCAGAGAGAGCTGAGTGGGGCCAGGGTCAGGCTTTTATAACAACCCTTTCTTTTGAGAACTACCAAGAGGTCACAAGAGAATGACCTTAATCCTTTCTGAGAGCATGTCACCAATGACCTAAGGTTCCACCACCTACAATATTGCCATCATGAGGACCAAAGCTTTAATCACTTAGAGACAAACTACATAAACCATAGCACGTGTTAAGATGATTTCGATGCATTTTACGATGGGGTAGATACTATCAGCCTTATTTGTACATTAGGAAACTGGAATTTAGGGAGCTTAAGTGACTTGCTCAAAGTCACACAACTGGTAAATGGTAGAGTCAGGGTTTGAATCCAAAAAGTCTGACCCTCAAACCTGTTGTTACAGAGCCTATGTAAAAACCTTCCTGAATCAAATCATAATCATGAAGTAATTATTTGTGTGGCTATTAAGACTCTTCATTGTTGAGTGTTTACCCTAATATTTATTCATTTTTAATCACAGCACTTGCTTGCAGTCACAAACAGGAATTGCACAAGAGCAGCAATGCAAAAAACATTTTTACCACAACTGTTGAACTGTTACATGTGTCAGGAACTTAACTCAATAACCTGTGATGTAATGCCCTTTTTTTTCTCATTTATTCATATGTGCATACATTGGGCCATTTCTCCCCCTCCACTCCCTGCCCCCTCCCTCTCCCCACCACCCCCTCACTTCCAGGCAGAATCTGTTCTGCCCTTATCTCTAATTTTGTTGAAAAGAGAGTATAAACAATAATAAGAAAGACAGCATTTTTGCTAGCTGAGATAAGGATAGCTATACAGGGAGATTCCTAGCATTGCTTCCATGTATAAATGTGTTACATTCTAAGTTGATTCATCTCTAACTGACCTTTTCTCTATTTCCTGATCCCCTTCTCATATTGACCTCTGTTGCTTTAAAGTTTCTGTATTAGTTCCTCTGCAGTGAGGACCTCAAATACCATCATGTTTTTTGGGTTTTTTACCTATCCCCATACCTCCCGTGTGTGCTCTCACCTTATCATGTGACCCAAGTCCAATCACATTGTTGTATTTGCCCTAGATCTAAAGTCCACATATGAGGGAGAACATATGATTTTTGGTCGTCTGAGCCTGGCTAACCTTGCTCAGAATGATGGGCTCCAGTTCCATCCATTTACTTGAGAATGATAAGATTTCATTCTTCTTCATGGCTGAGTAGAATTCCATTGTGTATAGATACCACATTTTTCTTGATCCATTTGTCAGTAGTGGGGCATCTTGGCTGTTTCCATAACTTGGCTATTGTGAATAGCACTGCAATAAACATGGGTGTGCAGGTGCCTCTGGAGTAACCTGAGTCACATTCCTTTGGGTATATCCCCAGGAATGATGTATTGCTCTTGACCAGTATTTTTCATTTGTCTAGGAGTGGGAGAGAATCTCTAAAATAGAACTTGCTTGGAACCTGGGTTATGGGTAACCAGAGTCTTATTCTTGTTTATCTCCAGGTCTGTGGATTCTAGGGTGCCACAACTCAAACTTTCGGAACAGAGGCATGACGGCCTTACTGAAAGTTTCTAGTTGTAACGAGAATGCCAGTGATTATTATGATGACACATATGAAGAGCTTCCAACATACTTGCTGAGTGAAAACGGTATCATTGAACCCAGAAGCTTTTCCCAGAATTCAAGGCAACCTAGCACTAAGCAAAAGAAATTCAAAGCTGCCCCAATTCCAGAAAATGACACAGGGAAAATTAAAACTCAGTTTGGAGAGAAAACAGGGATGGTTAAAGTACAAAACTCCTCCTCCAGTGATTTGTTGATGCTCTTGGGACAGAGTCCTACTCCACATGGGTTATCCTTATCAGATCTCCAAAAAACCACATATGAGGCTATTCTTGATGATCATTCACGTGGTACAATAGATAGTAATGAAGGTCTGTCTGGTGTACCTCTGAACTTGAGTGAAAGAAATAATGATTCCAAGATATTAGAAGTTGATTTAATGAATAGTCAAAATTCACTGGGAAAAAAAATATCATCAGTGGACAGTGGCAGATTTCATAAAGAGAAACGATCACATGGATCTGCTTTGTTGACCAAAGATGATGCTTTATTCAAAATTAATATCACTTTGATAAAGACAAACAAGGCAGCTAATCATTCAACAACTGATGGAAAAGCTCACATTGACAACCCAACATCAATTGAGAATAGTACATTAGTCTGGCAAGATACTGTATTAAAAAGCAGTACTGATTTTCAAGAAGTAGCATCTTTAATTCATGAAGAAATGCTTATGGACCAAAATAATACAGCTTTGAGGGTAAATCATGTGTCAAATAAAACCACTTCACCAAAAAATATGGAAACAGTTCACCAAAATAAAAAGGGCCCTGTGCTACCCAATGCAGAAAGTCCAGATATGTCACTTTTCAAGATGCTATTATTGTCAGAATCAGAAAATTGGATAAAAAGTTCCCATGGAAAGAACTCCCTGAACTCTGGGCAAGGACCTACTCCAAAGCAATTAATATCCTTAGGATCAGAAAAGTCTGTGAAAGATCAGAATTTTTTGTCAGAGAAGAATAAAATGGTAGTAGAAGAAAATGAATTTACAAAGGACACAGGACCTAAAGAGATTATCCTTCCAAGCAACAGGAGTGTATTTCTTTCTATCTTGGCTAATGTACAAGAAAATAATACACACAATCAAGTAAAAAATTTTGGGGAAGACATAGAAAGGAAAAAAGCATTAATCCAAGAGAATGGAGTTTTGTCAGTGACTGGCACTAAAAAGAATTCTCTGAAGAACTTTTTCTTGCTAAACACTAGACAAAATGTAAGTTCACATGAGGAAACAAATGTACCAAAAATCCAAGACACTGGGTCAATAAATGATTCAGCTAATATAATAGAGATTCACATGGCCCATTTCTCAAAAAGAAGGAAGGAAGAGGAAACAAACTCAGAAGGCTTGGAAAATCAAACCACACAAATGTTAGAGAGCTATCTAAGTACCACAAGAATGTCCCTTAATCCAAGCCAGGGAAATGTTATTGCTCAACACAGTAAGCAGGCTGTGAAACAACTTGAAATCCCACTAAAAGAAATTGAGCCTGGGAAGGGGCTAATTATGGGTGACACCTCAACTCAGTGGTCCAAAAACATGAAATATTTGACCCCAGGCATCCTTATACAGATAGACTACAAGGAGAAGGGGGAAGAAGCCATTACTCAGTCTACCTTATCTGATTCTCCTATGAGGAATGTCACCACTCACATTAGTAGTTCTGCATTACACATTGTAAAGGTATCAGCAGTTCCATCAATTAGACCTGCAGGTGCTGAAATGATAAACTCTTCTCATTTTCTAGCCTCAGCCTATGGTTATACCTTTAAGACAAAAAGCACTGGGGTTCAAGAAAGCAGTCATTTCTTACAAGAAGACAAAAGAAATAACATTTCTTTAGCCAGCTTCTCCCCAGAGATCATCAGGGATCAAACAAAGGTTGGCTTCCTGGGGACAAGTGAAAAAAACTCCCTCACATACAAGAGTCTTGAGAACACTGTTCTCTCTCCAGTCTTGCCTGAAGCATCTGGCAAAGTTGAATTGATTCCTAAAGTTCCCATTCATCAGGAAGACCTTTCACCCACAGAAACTAGCCAAGAGTCTCCTGGCCACTTGAATCTCATGGAAGAGATCCTTCTTCAGAAAGCACAGGGAGCTATTAAATGGAATAAAGCAAATAGACCTGGAAATGTGCCCTTTCTGAAAGGGGCAACAGAAAACTCTGAAAAGACTCCCTCTAAGTTGCTGGATCCTCTTGCTTGGGATAACCAGTATGTTACTGAGATACTGAAAGAAGAGTGGAAATCCAAAGAGAAGTCACCAAAAAACACATCCCTTAAGACAAAGGACACCATTGTTTCACAGAACCCTTGTGAAAGCAGTCATTCAACAGCAGCAAATGAGGGACAAAACTGGCCCCCAAAAGAAGCCACTTGGGCAAAACAAGGAGAGACTGGAAGATTGTGCTCTCAAAACCTACTAGTATTAAAACGCCACCAAAGGGAAGCAGCTATTACTACTCTTCAGTCAAAGCCAGAAGAAACTGACTATGATGATACCATCTCAATTGAAACAAAGAGGGAAGATTTTGATATTTATGGTGAGGATGAAAATCAGGACCTCCGTAGCTTTCAAAAGAGAACACGACACTATTTTATTGCAGCAGTTGAGCGGCTTTGGGACTATGGGATGAGTAGATCCCTTCACATTCCAAAAAACAGGTATGAATACATTGGTTATTACTTTGTCCTGCTATTATGACCTTTGACTTTACCAGATGCTGAAATGGTAGAAAATCAACCTTATCTATTAACCTTATGAGTTGCAGAAGGAACTGAGAGGTAGGAGAAATATGTGTGATAAAGAGGTTAAGGGTGTACATAAGGTTGTTTTCCAAGATATGGGGGATCCAGAGGGTGAACTGGATGGTTTGATTTTTAGGGGAGCAAAAAGAGTTTGAGCAAGGAAGAGAAAGCTCAGACAAATTTGGAAGACAATCATAAGAAGAGTCAGCCAGTCAACAAATATTATGGAGCACCTACTATATGCAGATACTTTGTAGACATTGAAGTGCAGCACAGTAGAGTTCACATTCTCTTGGGGAGAGCAAGAGATAATAAGTAAGGGAAAAATTGTGCTATGAGAGGATAGAATAGAATAATATGGTAGAGTAACAGGCAGGTGTTATTTTAGCTGTGGTGGTCAGAATCCTCTTTGAGGAGTTGAACCCTAAAATACTAAGAGGCCAACTGGTGGAACTCTGAAAGAAGATGTTCCCAGAGAGAACAGAAAATGTAAAGGCAAGTTTTGCATATTTGAAGGACAAAAAGAAAGGGGCAAGTACCACTGGAGTACAGTGAAAAATTCAGATGTGGGGGTGTGAGGTAGTAGAAGTGAGCAGTAGGTGGGTAATATGGGTCCTGGAGGGAAGGTAGAGCCCCTTCATTACTCATGATAACTTTTCCGCCTTGCTTTCTATCTCAAGTGAGCCTTCTTTGTTGCACATCAGCCATACATTATTTTCCTAGTCCACTGACTTTGTACTCTCCTGACTTCTATCTTACGTTTTCTGTTTCTTCTTAACTCTCCAACACTTTCCCCTCTTCTCACTCTTATCTGATGCTGTGCAGTTAATCACATTTAATGACATTTGTACCCACATACTCTGCCTCACGCTCATGACAATAAATGGAGCACACCTTTTGTACTTGGTCCTCTTTCTTCTCCCCTCATGAAAAACACTGCTCCAGCAATTCCCTCTTTTCTCTCTCACATCATCAATGTCTCCTTCTCCACTAGATTAGTCTCATCAGCATCAATCATGTTATTATTAATGACCATTCCTTCATTTCAGTTATTCAGAACTCAAGGCTTGAAGTTATTCATAACTCCTCTTTTCTCACATATACAAATCTAATCCATCAGAGGATTTTGTTGACTATAATTTTTTTTAAATTTTTGATTATGGACTGAATATTGGATAAGATGAAAGTACACTGAAATGGAAAGGTGAAGATGACTGGGAGATAAAAGCAGGTTACAAAACACTGCTTCTATAATAATAAAAGTCTATTGAAATAGAATCAGAGGCCACTCCAGCAGGCTGAAACCAGGTGGGGACTCATGCAGGTGAACTCAGTTTCCCACAACTCATCTGCCCACTGAACTGGCCATTGTCTCTATCTTTCCCTGAGCAGACTCAGACAAATTATTATATGGCCTTAAGCAAAGAACAAAGAAGGAGAGCCCTTGTTCAGCATACATAACTCCATGGGTGAATAAGCCTACAGTCAATCTAAATGGAAATTTACAAAATGAAGCAATTATTGGAAATGAAAAATGATCTGAATGAGCTGACCTCTTGCATCACAGTGTCAACAAGGTGCTTCCATATTGGAAAGAGTCAGTAAGAAGAAATTCGTTTTATCAGGTTCTTGGAGCAAAGATATGGTATGTTCTTTGCTCCTGCAGAAAAACATCTGGGTGGGATGTCGTGTAGTGTTGTGTAAGCTTGGGAGAGAGACTGGGTGTGAAGAGGACTAAGAACCACGGTCACTCACAAAGGAAAATGCAACAAAGAAGAGTCCTGCATATCAGTATAGCCAGATCATCCAAAACTATGGGAAATAAGTTTTTAAGGGTGAACCATCAGGTGTTTTCCTGAGGTGTTAGGCTCTGAGTTGGAACTGTCTTACTTGCATTAAGACCAAAGTAAGCAGAGGAAGGAAACATCAAAGATCAGACCTGAAACAAATGGAACGGAGATAGAAAAGCAACAGATAAGATCAACAAAACTGAGCTGGTTTTTTGAAAAGCTAAACAAAATAGATAAATGTAGCAATGATATCTAGAAGGTATTGAAGAGAAATGATGAATTCTAGCTGCCAGCTTAAATTTCATACCCATCAAGAATAAGATTCAAAATGAAGTTGAAATAAATACATTTTCAGACAAGAAGAAACAGAGAAAATTAACTACTAATGACTCACTAAAAATGTTGTAATGTTATACTTGCAACAATGTAAAAGTGATGCCAAACAGAAGATGTGAGAGAGCAGAAGGAAAAAGAGTAAAGAAAAAGTAACTGTGAATAAATATAAATAAATGTTTGCATAAACAATGATAAAATATTTTATGAGCTTTAAGATATATAGAATTGCTTTTTTCACAGTAGGCTTGCTGCCAGAACACAGGTGTCATGAAAACCATTGCTAAATTTAAGGAAAAACTGGGAAAGGAAAAGATTCACATCAACATCATTGTCATTGGTTACTACTGGCCATCTGATCTACAAATAGGATATGATCAACAGCAACAGAAGAGCCATCAAAAACTGAGAAAGTCTCCTGAGATGGGAAAGGGTTCCTTCAAGTATGCCTGAATCTTGGATAAACTGAAAGCTGAGTGAGAGCATGATATCACCATTGACAGTGCCATGTGGAAATTTAAGTCCAGCAAGTATTATTGATGCCTCAGAACAGAGACTTTATCAGAAATATGATTACAGGCACATCTCAGGCTGACTGTGCTGTCCTGATGGTTGTTCCTTGTGTTGGCAAATTTGAAGCTGGTATCTCCAAGAATGGACATGGCCTTCCGAGTTAAACTACTGGGTTGTGAAACAACTAATGATATTAACAAAGCAGATTCCACTGTTCCACTCTACAGCCAGAAGAGATCGAGGAAATTATTAGGGAAGTCAGACCCACATAGAAAACTTGGCTACAGTTCCAACACAATAGTATTTGTCAATATCTAATTGAAATGGTAACATCATGCTTGGGTGTTAACATACCTTTGTTCAAGGGATAGAAAATGACTGGGGTTGTAGCTCAGTGTTAAAGTGCTTGCCTAGCCTGTGCAAAGCCCTCGGTTCCGTCCCCAGCACTACAAAAAAAAAAAAAATGAATGTGTCTGCCAAAGGTATTCACTGTGGCAACATGGCTGGTGGCAGCAAAAGTGGAAGTAGCTGTCCTCATCGCTAAGGTGGTTATGCAGAACCATTCAGGCCCAATCAGTGCTTGCTCTGCACCTGTGCTCAATTATCACATAGTTCACATTGCTTGCAAGTTTGCTGAGCCAAAGAAGAAAAATTGATTGCTATTCTGGTAAGAAGCTGGAAAATGGCTCCTGTGATGTTTAATTTTGATTGTCAACTTTATTAGATTGAGATATACCTCAGAGATTAGTGAAGCACATCTCTGAATGTGTTTGTGAGGGCAGTTCCAGAGACAATTAGATCATGAGGGCTCTGGCTTAATCAATGGTTTAATCCACTGATGGATTCAAAATTTGAATAGACCATTGGGAGGTAGTGGAAATATGGAAGATGAGGCCTAGTTAGTTATACAAAGTAGGTCATTGGGGTCATGTCCACTAGGAGTTATTTCTTGCCCTGGCCCCTTACTATTACCTACTCTCTGCTTCCCAGCCACTTTGAAGAGACAGCTTTGCTCCATTCCAGCCTTTCTGCTGTGATGCTCTGCCTCACCAACAGGTCCACAGCAATGGACCAAGTGACCATGGACTGAGACCTCTGAAACCATGAGACAAAATCAATCTTTCCTCCTTTAAAATTGTTTCTCTCAGTCTGACATGGTGGCACATGCCTGTAATTACAGCACTTAAGAAGCTGAGTCCAAAAAATTACAAATTCAAAGCCAGCCTGTGTTACATAGTGAGACCCTGTCATTCATAAATAAGTTAATTAATTAATTAAATAGTCTGAGGTATTTATCACATCCATGAAAAACTAACAGTTATCATTTTAAATTATAGTTATATTTTTTATAAATTATAGTTTTTTTAAATTTGGTCTTGAGATCGCTCTCTTGAGAGTGACCATAATTTCTAGGGGACCTGAAGTAGGAGAATGTTAACTTTGGGTGTGTTAGTCAGGGGAGATACAATGAAGAAGCAAAACCAAAATGCAGAACAAAGTAAAATAGTGACAAGTACCTAGAAACAAATACAATAAAATCTTTACATGGAATTTTCTATGAAAAAATATGGAAAATCACTGAGAAACAATTATGGAACAGAGCAAGCTTTTTCTAAAGTTGATGCAAAAATGCAAACAGCCAAGAATACCCAAGACTTTCTAAAGAAGCACAAGATGGGAGGAATTGTTCTATTGCATACTGAGATTTATTTTAAACTTATAGTAACTTAAGCAATGTGAGAATGGGTATGAGGATCAACAAAAGGTAAATAAAACAATAGAAAATATAAAAATAGACATACACGTATCTGTACACTTGCTTTATAACAAAAGTATCACAGAATAGCAGTTTTCAACAAAAGGTGCTGGGAAATTTTGGTATGCTTATGGAAAAAAAAAGTGAAAAAAACTAAACTTTATACCTAAGTCAGAATATACATAAAAATCCACTCACTCAAATTGCGTGGATAGATAAAGCCATAAATATTTTAAAAAGAGAAAAATAAAAGAATGCCATAACCTGAGGGTAGAGAAAGAAAGAGACTTGACATCAAGATACTAAGTGAAAAAACCATGAAAGATTTTAAAACACATTTCATTGTATTAGAATTATCAACTTATGCTCATCAAAAGATAACATAAAAAGAATAAGATCAGCTGCAGAAAGGGAGATGATGTTACCTTATTGATCAGGGAAATGCAAAATAAAAACCAGAATGAGACTATTATGCAACCACTAGAATGACCAAAAATACAAATATGATCGAAACCACATCTTTGTGAGGATTTGGGGCAAATGAAAATGTTGCAGCTGCTTAGAAAGCTGAAATATGCATGTGCAGCAATTCCACTCCTGGATATATGACCAAAAGAAATGCATATAATTTGTTCACCAAAAGACATATGCCAGTTATAAGCACCAAAATTTAGGAGGAATTCAAATTTCCATGATTGGTACATATCAATACAATGGAATACCATGCAACAGTGGGAATAAACAGGCTATGGCTACACAACAATGCAGATGAATCTCACAACCATAAAGTTTAGTGAAAAACCAACAAAAGTATATGTACACTATGTTTCCATTTACATACTTCAAAAACAGACAAAACTGAAATGTATTCTTTAAGGATTGTGGGCATAAAAGGTAAAATTATGAAAAAAGCAAAAAATGGACAAAACAGACAAAACCCCTGCTTTCAGGGAGAGAGTATTTCAAGGAAGATGAAGTGGTTAACTGTGTAAAATGTTGCATAAAGATACTGCAAACTCCTGACCTCTGTGAATTTGCAAATTGAATTCACAGAGATGTGCAAAACCATATACCCCAACTTACTCCTTCTCTAGGGTTTATATTCTCAGAGAATTGCATTACCATGCATTCATTTGCCCAATCCAGAAACCTGAAAGCTGCCTTTAATCCTCCTTTCTCTCCTCCTTGCCCCATTGCACTTGCAATCCATCATTAATTTTATTAAATATATCTCAAATACAGGGAAGGATAGGCCTGGTGGAGTGGCTCAAGTGGTAGAGCATTGGACTAGCAAGCATGAGGACCTGAGTTCAAATCCTATTACTGCAAAAAAAATACAGGGAAGGCAAGGAGGTGAGGCATTTCTTCCTCCTTGGTCCTTCAGGATACTGCTTTCCCTCTACTTTTTCTTCAGGGATCAGAGTGGCAGTGCCCCTCAGTTCAAAAAGGTAGTTTTCCAGGAATTTACTGATGGCTCCTTTACTCAACCCTTATACCGTGGAGAACTAAATGAACACTTGGGACTCTTGGGACCATATATAAGAGCAGAAGTTGAAGACAATATCATGGTGAGTTAAGGACAGTGGTATTATGAGAAAATTAATTTTATATGTTTAGTTTCTGATTATAAAAATCAGTTATTCTCACACTTGAAAATCTTTAAAGTATAGAAAATAAAGAAGCCAAAAAATAATGCTTTAATTGTCATTTTTGGTGTATGTTCTTTATTTTTCCTATGTATTTTTCTCTTTATGTATTCAAAATTATACCATATATAATTCTGCTTCTTATTTTTCACTAAATATTATGTAATAAACATTGTTATATCTTCAAAAACACTTTCTAATTAAGAATGGATGCCATATAAGTAGTTTGTTATATGGCCAGGCATGGTGGTTAATGCCTGTAATCTCAGCTATGTGAGAGGCAAAGATGGGAGGATTGTGGTTCATTGCCAGCCCAGGCAAAAGTTAGCAAGACCCTATTCTCAAAAACAAGCCAGGCATGGTGGTTTATGCCTGTAATCCCAGCTAGGCAAAAGGCAGTGGTCTGAGAATGGCCCCAGACAAAAACACATGACCTGATCTGAAAAACAAACTAAAGCCAAAAGAGCTGGAATTGTGGCTCCAGTGGTAGAATACCTGCCTAGCAAGCACAAGGCCCCAAGTTCAAACTACAGTACTGCCAAAAAAATAGTTCTGTAAAGAAATGCAATGTATGTGAGCATTTTAAGACTCTCTTATGAATTGGCTGCTAATGTCCTTTGCAAATTTGTCTTTTTCAGACAAATTTATTGTCTCTTAATTTTATACGTGATGTTTTTAAAATAAAATAAATTTGAGTTCTTACATAGTAACGCATAAATCTTTCTTCCTTCATTCATTGCTTTTGTTTATAAAATCCCCTCCCTATACAGAATATTTTAAAAATCATCTGTACTTTCTCTTACAGCTTAATTTTTTACATTTAACTATTTAATTATTTTTTAACAGTACTAGAGTTTAAAGTCAGAGCCTTGTACTAAAATTATGGGATTGTGGGTACATTCTTTTTTGACTTGAATTTTATTTTACTTTCCATGTGTTCTATGATAAATATGCATAATTTTTTAAATCTGAAAAATAAAATAAATCTTCAGAAAAGATAATATGTATTCACCCTATGTTAGAACTCAGGACCTTGGACTTTACCTGCTTTAGCCATACCCCCAGTCCTTTTTATTTGTTTTATTATTCAGATAGGGTCTCACTGTTGCACAGCGCCAGCCTTGGTACTGAAATCTTCCTACCTCTGCCTACCATGTAGCTGGAATCATAGGCATGTCTGTAATTACAGGGTGCCACCACACTCAGCTTGTTTTTTCAGATAAGATCTAACTTTTTTGCCCCAGCTGGCCTTGAACTGGAATCCTGTCATCTCCACCTCCCAAGTTGGAATGACTTTTGGGTGTTTAAGAATTTTCTCCTGCCAGGAATGGTGATTCATGTCTGTAATCCCAGCTATTTGGCAGGTGGAGGCAGGAGGATTATGAGTTTGAGACCAGCCTAGGCAAAGTTCACAAGACCCCATCTCAATGAATAAAAGTTGGGCACAGTGATATGTGCCTGTCATCCCATCTACATAGGAAGTGTAAATAGGATCATGGCCCAAACCTCCCCAGGCATAAGCACAAGACCCTATTTGAAAAATGCCTAAAGCAAAAAGTGCTGAGGGCATGGCTTAAGTGGTAGAGTGCCTTTCTAGCAAGTGCAAAGTTCTGTGTTCAAAACCCACTACCACAAAAAACAAAGTGCTGGGGGCATGGTTCAAGTGGTAGAGCACTTGCCTTGCACACATTAGGCCCTGGATTCAAAAAAAGACTTTTCTCTTTGCATCTTTGAGTTCTTGCTTTATTTTAAAATCCAAAAATTCCTCAGAATTTCCTTCATAGATCTTCAGGTTTGTATTCAAACAATATCCATCCTCCTTCCTCTTCCTAAGGTACTAATAACTTGGATGTAGACCAAAAGATGGTCATTCCCATTAGGAATGTACAACAGAAGCTAAGAACTTTTATATCCTAGATGATTATTGCTTTTTTTTTCTTTTTACTGTGCAGGTAACTTTCAAAAATCAGGCCTCTCGTCCCTACTCCTTCTATTCTAGCCTCATTTCTTATAAAGATGAGAGACAAGGAACAGAACCTAGAAAAAACTTTGTCAAGCCTAATGAAACCAAAACTTACTTTTGGAAAGTGCAACATCATATGGCACCCTCAAAAGATGAGTTTGACTGCAAAGCCTGGGCTTACTTCTCTGATGTTGACCTGGTAAACACGTCTTCATTATGCTACCAGCATTCTGGTTTAAAACAAATAGTCTTCATGTTGTCTGCAAAGAATTTTAATGTTTGTCCTAAGCACAATGAGAAGCTTTAACTAGGGGAATCTACTGAGAGGGATGAATCATACTGTGGGAAGGTGGGAGGCAGGTTACAGTGACACAAAAGTTGATGCAAAATGTACACCAAGGATTAATGTTTGTCCTCTCTAGGAAAGAGATGTGCACTCAGGCTTGATTGGACCCCTTCTGATCTGTCACACTAACACATTGAACCCTGCGCATGGGAGACAAGTGACAATACAGGAATTTGCTCTGTTTTTCACTATCTTTGATGAGACCAAGAGCTGGTACTTCTCTGAAAACATAGAAAGGAACTGCAGGGCACCCTGCAATATCCAGATGGAAGACCCTACTTTTAAAGAGAATTATCGCTTCCATGGTAACATATTCCACACCCAAATATTATTCACTGTGAAATGCAGTCTGCACTTTTTCAAATGAGTCATGGTCCACAGACTTGGACATTGTATAACTTAGGAGTGGAATCATCATAGATGTCAGTATTTTTGGTGGAGTGAAGAAACCTCTACACTAGATTTTAATAGTTTTGTCTGTGCTCTTCTCCAGCAATCAATGGCTATGTGATGGATACACTGCCTGGCTTAGTAATGGCTCAGGATCAAAGGATTCGATGGTATCTACTCAGCATGGGCAGCAATGAAAACATCCATTCTGTTCACTTTAGTGGACATGTGTTCACTGTACGGAAAAAGGAAGAGTATAAAATGGCAGTGTACAACCTCTATCCAGGTGTGAGCTGGTTTGTGCTCTTTATACTACCTACTGTACTTACTGAGCCCTTACTCTAAGTGATCTAAGCACCAGTAATACAATCAGTGAACAAAGCACACAAGGCCCCCTGCTCTCAAGTAACTTACTTTTCGAAGTAACTTGTACCTATGTGCAAAGAGAAATAAATTATCAAATGAAAAAGGTAATTCCAGGTACATGCAATTACTATAAAGCAGAATAAATGAGTAATTAACATCATAGTACTTTACTAGGAGTCTTTTTTCATTTTCCATCTCAAATCCAACATGCCACCAGTAGTTACCAAAAATGGCTTTACTTATATATGTACCCAGTATATTGATTAAGCACTACTGGTGATGTTGATCAAAACACAGTTTTATTATGAGTCTCACTGTCCGTTTAAAACAGATTTAGTAGTGGGAGTAAACTTCCCCTGTTTGTTTATAACAATTCTGATAAGATATGTGACTTTTCTGCTCATTTTTAAGTAATAGACTGCAGTCACTTTATATCACAAGTACAGTACAGCTCAAATAAAAACTATTACAGCATTTGTTCCATGCCATTAATCAAAATTCTGAACTTTAGCTGAGTATGGTAGTTCAGGCCTATAAATCCCAACACTCGGGAGATTGAGGCAGGAAAATCATGAGTTCCTAGGCACTTGGGACTACATAGTGAGACCCTGTCTCAAAACTCTTGAGCCTATATCAGGCTGGAAGTCAGCATTAGGAAAAGGAGATAAGGTTGAGTCCTCTGCTTCCCCCCTCTCCAGCATGGATAGATTAATGGTAAGGGAATGGACTGTTCTTACCTACTCATAACTGACATTGTTGTAAGCTAGTTTCATACTGTCTGTACTTGACAGATATTTAAATCTGACTATCTCTTACAGGGCACTTTCAGGGATGCCTTTTGGGGAATGTCATGAACTGTCTTCGGCCTGGTTGGCTCCACCTTTATTCTGGGTGCTCACTGTAGCTCATTCCTTATCAACTCAGTATTTACCTCCAGCTTCTTTCTGTTGGGTTAACTTTGCCCAATGAGCTGAATCCAAGAGCACCTCACTCAAATTTTTCTGTTCCTTGGAGCTCACATCTGGTCATTGGGAAAACACATTTTGCTCTGAAAACCCCTGGGGGTGCAGACCAATCCCAATGCAGCAGTATTCTCCTGTGTCCAACATCAAAAAATTTTGTCACCCTGTCTCTCATTTCCTTCAAGGGGGATGGACAGAACTCAATCTGCAGTGCCTCTAACTGTAGAGAACATATAGCAGGAATTTGCAGTTGGAGGGGTCCAAGAATGGTGGAACTGGATTTGGTAGATCAATTTTAATATTTCACATAAGCCAATGTATTTCATGCTCATTTTTTGGTGAAAAGAAGTAATTTTTGTTCTTTTCGGTTTTGAAAAGGTGTTTTTGAGACAATGGAAATGCTACCATCTAAAGCTGGAATTTGGCGAGTGGAGTGTCTTATTGGCGAGCATCTACATGCTGGGATGAGCTCTCTTTTTCTGGTGTACAGCAAACGTGAGTAGCACTGTGGGCAGAGGTTCTTTGCCTATTCAGCCTACTTCTGTAAGCTTTTCTTCTTCTTGGAATGATTGCCTTTGTCTGTATATAAATATAAGCTCATATCACATTAAATTTAAAATGAATATTGCTATTAGAAACCATCAGTCTTCAGAGGACATATACTGGAAGCTTTGTACATTTTGAACCCGAACCTCTATTATTTAACAAGCTGGTGCTTTAAAAACTCTTCATTTTTCACAGTAGTAGATTTTGGAACTTAATTTTGATTTGATTACCTAAGACAACATACAAATATCACTTGGAAGTACATGATTTAACCCTAAACAAGTAAGAGAACCACCACTGGTTTACACGTCTAGGGACCCTAGTTTCCTCAGCTGCAATATGTGAATAGCTGTAACATCCTATCTGTTAGGATGAGTTAAATGAGATAGCAAATAAAATACTTAGTACAGTTCTTGGGACATAATAAGCACTAAAAATATTAGCATTTGTTGGTATTCTCTCCATTTTGATTGCCTTATACTTGAGAAATTGAGTTCTTTGTGCTTCTAGCTACTGCGTTTCCCCTGTTTGATTTCAGAGTGTCAGATTCCCCTGGGAATGGCTTCTGGACGCATTAGGGACTTTCAGATTACAGCTTCAGGACAATATGGTAAATACTGTTATTTTTGCTTCAAGAATCGGGAATGATTGTATCTTTTTTTATCTCTATTGAACAGTTTCAAATAAGTAATCCTCCTCCATGCTTTTCTTAATTCTACTGCCTCTCAAATTTATCTCCTCTCCATTTCCCACTGTGACCATCTTAATACAGGCCACATTAACTTATCACCTGGGCAATGACCTTGCCTCCTAAAGTATCCTCCCTACCTTTAGTTTTGCTGCCCTGAGCCCACTCTCTTCACAGCAGCAGAAAACTACACTTTCCCATGAGCAGTGATGGTAAAGCTTAAATAGAATCTATAGAGGGTTCTAACACATTGTTTCAGAATAAGGATTGGCAAACTATTTCCCAGGGTCCAAATCTAGCCCACCACCTATTTTTTATGGTATGTGAGCTAAGAATATTTGTTTACATTTTTATTACCATATATTAAATGTACAAAATAATAGATCTCATTGTGACAATTTTGTACATGCATATAATGTACTTTGATTATATTTACCCCCCACTCCTCTCCCACATTCCCCTTTCTCTTCTCAAATAGTTAATTTTTCCATTTTTAAATTAAGAAAAAAATATTTCATGATGTGAAATTATAAAATTCAGGCTGACAGAGTGTCTCAAGCAGTAAGAGTGCCTGCCTAGCAAGCATGAGGCCCTGAGTTCAAACCCCAGTGCCACCAAAAAAATTTTATAAAATTCAAATTTTATTGTCCATAATAAAGTCTTATACTGGAACACAGCCACACCCACTCATTTACATATCATCTATGGCTCTAGCAGCAGTTACATAGCTGGAACACAGGCCATATAATCTGCCATTATTTACTATATAACCTGTGACAGAAAAACATTTGCCAACCCACATTTTAGAAGGCAAAAATTCCCCTTAGAAAAGAGGCTTGAGATTTATTTACTAATGTAATAGGACTATGCTTTGTAATTTGTTTTTGCCAGTACTGGGATTTGAACTCAGGGCCTCACATTTGCTACACAGAGTGGTTCAAGAAGTAGAGGGCCTTTTTGCATTGGCTTTTTGTTTGTTTTTGAGACAGGATCTTCCTTTATGCCCAAGCTGGCCTGAAACCTTGATCTTCAATCCTCCAGATGAGCCTCCTATATAGCTGAGAAAACAGGAACCAGCCACTGTGCCCAACATGAATTTCATTTTATTTCTTTTATTTTTATGAATTTTTTTTCAGTTTCAATTTTCTGATTTTTCTGCAATAACATACATTGTGTGATAAAGAAATAATAGCATTTGGTATTTTCTGAAAACAGATCCCAGCATCAGCTAATTAGAGATGCTAACAATCAACAAAATTACTAAATTTTAGAAAAATGCAATATACAACAGCAACAGTAAGTAAGCAAACCCTTTATTAGATAGTAATCAATACTTCTAGACTACAAAACTTTTGTGCCTTTCTCTTTCTTCTCCGCAACTAGGAGTAACCTTTCTGAGCAGAGTAATGTTGTTTCCAAGTGTTTAGGACCAACTCAGTTGAATATAATTTCTCTCCTCTTTCTTGGGAAAAGGACAGTGGGCCCCAAAGCTGGCCAGACTTCATTATTCTGGATCAATCAATGCCTGGAGCACCAAGGAACCCTTTTCCTGGATCAAGGTTAGAAAATTTTATTGATGATGGGAAATGTATCACATTCAGTCACACTACTGATTTATCATGGAAGCTAAAAGCATTATACATGTCCTTTTATCCCTTAGTCATTCCCATCAATCCTCAGTTAACAGATGAAGAAGCTAAAGAATAAAATGGCTTATGATTTGTACAAAAATAGTCTTGAATGAAAGACTTAGTAATAGAATTGAGTATGCTGATGCACCCTATTTTTTCCACTGGGATTGGAATCTGAGTACTTTCTATAAGATTGAATTTATTACCTGTCAAGAATAAGTGGCTCAGTCCTCTATCTCACAAGCAAAGAAATTGTAACTTATTTCTAAAACAGAATCAGTCTTCTTCATAAAATCCTATACCACTACAGTAGGAAATACGTACTTAAATTTAGTCCAATGTGTTAAACTAAGATAGAAGCAATAACTGAAATAGTGTGTTCTATATTCCACTTTTAAGGGACTCAGTCTTTAGACTTTCTCACTTTGTTATTTCCTCTATTGCAGCACTGTCCTATGGAAATATAAATGTGAGCTATAAATACAAATCACACATGTAATTTTACATTTTCTAGCAACCAGATCAAAAAGAAATATGAAACTCATCTTAACAAAACATTTTATTAGCTAAACATATAAAAAAATTATCATTTTAACCCGTGATCAATTAGGCCTATAACTGATTCAAAGGAAGACACATGATAATTTTTGGGTCTTTTATATACCACATGACAGTTGAGGGCAGCTTGGAAGTGCCAACTCAGCCTCTCTGCATAAACACAAGGCTAGGTTCCTTCTGGAGCCCCAGACAAGAAACAGAGACCCCTGAATGATATACCCTGTTAATTTCCACTTATTTGATCTGGCCTATTGTTTTACCTTGCCAAGCTTCTCTGTTCCAAAGTATTTCCTAGTATTTTCCAATTTCACATCATTTACTGATTAGATCAGCAAACTTTTAATACTCCAGCAAAGTCATGATCAAAATAATTAAGTAGACAGGACTTCCTTAGTATGTGTTCAATACAAATCAAGCTATTAAATCCTTACCACCACAACCTTTTAAGTTAGATGCTATTATGATCCTCGTTTCAAATAAGGAAATCAAATTAAGGAGAAGTTATGTAATGTGCCTCAAGTCACACAGCCAAACAGTGCCTAAGCCAAAATTCAAAACCTAATAGTTCAATTCCAGTGCCTCACTTTGTAATCATTATACTATACTATATCTAGCATACTGCCTTAAGTTTGATAGTCATCTATTAACTATCACTATTTGCCTATAGTAATTAAATAAGTTGCAAATCCATCTAATTTTATTATTATCTAACCTGTATTAAAACACCTTACCCTCAAGGGTAAGAGTTATGCCATGTGTTCTACTGAAGCCCAGATAGAGTTGGAGTTGAGGAGGATGCTGACAAGGAAGGAAGCTGGAGTAGGTATGTATTCTGATGACAAGGCCTAAAAAGTACATGACAGCTTGGCCTATAGGCATGAGAGCACTGAGCTGCCTTGAAAGGTACCATGTGACCAAGACTGAACAATCAAGCAGATAGTCAGCAGGGCCCATGAAGATATGCAAATACAATACTTATGATGTTTATTTTATAAAAGCTCACATTTTATTCTGTGAAACTCATTCCTACCTTGCTTACTTGCAAGTACAGGGATGTGTATTATAGTTACACTGAAATACTGGCTGGATTTATAGGTGAAGCTATTGAATCTGTTACTGCAAAGCTGTTAAAAGGTTGCAATTATGATTTGAAGAGATGCAACAAGAAGATGAAGTAGACAAGCTTGGCAGTTTGCCAAACATTCATCACTAACAGAATATATATAGGTTGGCAAGGACTTATAAAATCTGCTGGAAGGTCAGTGGTCCAAAAAAGAACTATCATACTTTACATAATGAAACAGTACAGGATGACTAGGGGCATGGCCCAAGTGGTATAACCATTGCCTAGCAAGCTCAAGGCTTTGAGTTCAATACCCAGTACTGAGAGAGAGAGAGAGAGAGAGAGAGAGAGAGAGAGAGAGAGAGAGAGAGAAAGGAAGGAAAGAAGGAAGAAGGAAAGAAGGAAGAATAGGAAGGAAGGAAGAGAAAAAGAGAGGGAGAGAAAGAAAAGGAAGGAAGGAAGGGGAAAGAAACAGAAATCAATTCAACAAAAATCATGATTTTTGGAACTGATGCTTTTAGTTGTTTTTGCCAAGAAGAAAAATGAAGCGCCCTCAAATGAAGATACTTTCTAATCTAGGCAAAGGCAGTGTTGAAGCTTCTGAAGATAGCACCACTCTGTGTCCTGTTATCCTGCTTCATTTTCCTACGGCACGTATCTCTACCTAATGCTAAAAACATATATAAACATACATATGTGTATGTATATGTATATGTATATGTTTTCCTATCAAATATAAGTTCCATGAGGGCATCTTCTTTTGTTTTTGGTGATGCTAGGATTACAGGCATAGCCACCAGTGCCCACCTCTCTCCCTTTCTCTTTTTTTTT